AAATTATTGGTTTCAATAATTTTTTACTTGAATTCTATTAACTTTACCGAAAAATATTAAGAGATAAAAATTGCTTATTTTGTTTTCAAAGAGCTCTGAAAATTTTTTCAGAATTTTATGTTAACTTTTTAATACTTTAAGAAAATGCAAGAAAATGCAGTACTAAAAAATTAATATAAAATTCTGAAAAAATTCTCAGAGCTCTATGAGAACAAAATAAATAATTTTTATCTCTTGATATTTTTCGGTAAAGTTGATAGAATTCAAGTAAAAAATTATTGAAACCAATAATTTTGTAGATATTTACGTAAATATCTCAGAAAATAGAGGTCGTATAAAAATTTTTTTCAAACAAAAGTTGTTTGCTTTTTCACGTAGAATAAAATGCCGTAATAAAAAATATGTATTTCTATCTAAAAAAGCAATGTTGACCTTGTCCTGACTTTGGCGACGTCATCTTAGGTCAAATAACTACTGTCATTAAATGCGACTTTTTAAGCCTTACAACTTTTATTCGAAACATTTTTCTCTAAAATGCTCCCCCGCCGAGTTTTCTTGCCGTTGCCGAACTTATGGGACACACTGTATATGTTTGTATACTACACATATTTCTTTATCTTCTTCTGGTTTCCGGGTTAGTGTTGCATGTTCCATGGAAAAAATTTTCTCTATCATTGATTTGTATTTATAATTTTGAAATAATATTTACTTATAGATATATGTATATATATCCCAGATAGCACAAATTTCTAAGGAACCTCCTGGAAACATCTGTAGGATGTTAGAATGTCCCTTGGAGATCTGTGCTGTTTCAGATGTGTTTATAACTTTTTATAGCTTTTCCAACAATCCAGGTAACATACCCAGATCCCCACAAAGACGTACGTCGAATCCACGTTGAATCCACGTGGAGTCCACGTGGAATCCACAAAATCACATGGATTGAACGTGATTTGACGTGATTCCACGTGGATGTCACGTAGATGTCTTTGTGGGGATATCACAGAGAATTCAAACGAATTAAAAAAAAAATTCAGTCGTATGTCACCGATTCTGTTTATTTTCAGATGCAAACAGAATTCTTCAGAGTTCAGTTCAGTGAAATGAATTCTTTTTGCATAAAAAAATGAACTCATTTCTTTTTCAATTATCTGTGCTATCTGGGTACCCA